CATGGAACAAAAACATAACCCCGCTCGGTTTGAAGGATCCAATATGTTTAGCAGCCTAAACCTGAAATGTATCCAGGAAAATTATTATCATTAACCATTAAAGGTTGAGGTTGAGCGCCTCTACTTAAGCATGTAGGTTTTGAGTAAAAAAAGAGAGGTACATGTAAAAAATAAAAAAATAAAAAAAGAATTACGAAAAATTTTGAAGAATTTTGGAGAAAATAAAGTGAAGATCAAAAGATCAAAATTCCAAGAAATTCAAAAAGTTGAAGATGCCAAGAAATCAAATCAAATAAGGTGGTGAATTCAAAGAAATCAAAGATCAAATTGTTAAGAAAGTGAAGAATTCCTAAAAAGCTCCATAGTGGTATCATAAATTGTAATTCTAGATTATGTATGCTTAGGTTGCTCAACTAAAAATACCTTGAGGTTAGGAGGTTTTATGCGGATGGATTCGGAGGGTTGCATAAAATGAGCATTGTTCGGAAAAAGTGGGCAAGTGTTTATGAAGATTGTGAGTATTTAAAGTATGGGGGGTACTTTAGGAAAATTTTAGACACAAATGCATGCGTCGATGTCTTGGCATAATGGCTGAGTTTTAAATGGATTGTTTAGTGCAATATTGGTAAAATAAAAGTAAATTTGCTTGCGGGCAAGCAAAGGCTAAGTGTGGGGTATTTTGATATGTGTATTTTTATATATATTTATGTATAACATATCTTAATATTTTAGCATTTATTATTATTATTTAGAACTAAAATATACTTAATATTCTTTGAAATATTTAATTACAGTTAAAATGGGAGATGGAATGCAAAAGAAAGAAATGGAGCTGAAAAGATGCAAAAAGGATATTGCTGGCAGATTGACCCCTCTTCAGTGTTTCGGGTATATCTAATGACTCATAAGTCCAATTGACGAGATTCAAAATGTTCTGAAAACTAGACGAAATTTCCTACGACTTATGTGAGAGGGACTTTTGGCTAATTCGACACTTATCTTATCCAAAATCGGCCTTGAAGATGAAGCATAAAAGCTGGACGGAAATTCCCTCCAAGTTACTTATTCCCCAAGCTCCACTTATCTTATTTTTATTTGCTTAATCCCTAAGCCACCATTAGTTTCCTTATTCCAATCCAACTCTAATATTCCATATAAATTCCATCTCCATCAACTATAAATACCCCATATCATTCCACCAATTTGAATAATCTATGATATTCCACTTCGACTTGTGCAACAAGAAAAATTCATAGTTGCCGTTTTAAGGGTCTAGGAGGCGGCCGGAAGGCCGTTAAGCTAACGGGAACGGAGATCGGAAGGGTTGGAGAGTGGATACGTGTCGGTAATCATATGGGCTGTTAACATGACCATGTTTAGCATTCCATTGTGTTACTATTCTATATTTAGTTTCTGACTTGGGTGTAAAAACCTTTTACTTTGTGTTTATGATTGAATGAAGCTTTGATTATTAGACTAATTGCTATATTGAATAGTTTGTTTGTGTTTAATTTATCTTGCCAAGCTTGTTAAAAGATCCTTACGTATTAATGATAATTATTTGCTGTTAATTGTTAAGTGAATTGAGTTGTATGAACATATGCTTGATTGATTGTCTCTTATGATTTTGATGACCATTAAGATTAGAAGTCTAGGAATAACGAATGTGAAACTAGGATTAACTTGGAAATAAGTAAGTTAATGTGTGAGCCTTGTTTGATAACCATCAACAAGAGATTAATTGAATGATCAATTTGATTAACTATATTTACAAGTCTTGCTTGATACGAACTGAACACTAGGAAGCATGTTAGTTTAATCAACTGATCACTGTTTGAATTGACTTGTTTGCTAAAGGATTAGTTATAGTGAACGCGAATCTAATCATTTTAGGAATCGGTGAACATGAATAAATGAATTTGTGTATGCAATTGTCTATGTTTTTAAAGTGTAATTTGTCTAAACCAAAGTACCTGAAAAGATTTGCTTTCCTGTTAGTTTATCGAGAGTTGTTAATTAATTGTTCGTTTGAGATTTATTAAACTACTTCTTTATTCTTTCCGTGTGACCTGTAACCTATAATTAAATATTTTAAATTAATTCACCACCGTTCCCTGTGATCGACACCCGACTTACCTAAGCTATACTGTAATCTGACTAGGTACACTGCCTATAAGTGCATAGTTAGTCTAAGTTTGTTAGGTTATAAATATTAAAATTAGTGGGTACTTTTGTGCACATCAGTAGTAAATTTGTATATGTCGATTTTATTTTTTATTTTTACGTTTTTTGTGTATGTGTTTAGTCAATGATTTTTTTGTGGCTTACGAAATCGTGAATGGAAGATATACCCGAGTCAATGTCTATAATGTTTTACCCATTTGATCTCTTCCTGAACTTAGAGATGGAATTCAAACCCTTATACCAATGAGTAATCCACATATCCTACAACTCAGCAAAACCCACTAGTGATATTTGTTTTGATTTATTGTAAAAAATAGTTTTATAAAAACACAAATTAGGCTTTCAGAAAGGAGTTATTCACCGATCCCTTTTTAATATTATAAAACATTTTTTAGACTCAATAGCAAAGAAAATACAAAGTTTTAGTATACCATGTAAATAGATTACATCGATAAACCTTATTGGAAAATGTTTATGATTGATTACTTTTGGTTACTTAGTAGGTTTTTGTGTGAAAAAATATATTCTAATTTATATTACATATTATTCTGTTTTTTCATATGAGAGATACATAGAACTCAGATTGCTAATTTTCATTTTGTGTTTTTGGAATACGTTTTAGTTATGAACCTGATGCTATGCAAGTACTTGCGTTGTCTGGTCATGTTGAGAAGTACAATAAGAACCTTACACAACCTTATTATTTTGTTTAACCGGTTTGAATTTCTTATTGATTTTACTTTCTCAATGATAAATAGCTATACCCTACACTCTTGAAAATAGGGTTGGGAACATTGTGAGTATCTAGGTTTTCTCTGCAATAAGATAAGACATTAGTATAAAAGTTGCAATATAAACCTTTTTAAATTACATAATAATAACTAAACAAAGATATGTGAAAGATTATCTTTATAATTTAAATTGCAATATATAACATAAAAACCGTATTAAATTTTCATTATATTTTGTTCCATGCCTCACAAACATGTATATGAAACAAAATTACTCATTCTATTATCTAGCTTTTACGATTACCTATCAATATGGAAACCAACATTCATGAACCCACTACCATATCAGCTTTTCCCTCTCCTCTTTCTTCCATCTTTTCCAACCCACAACACATAGAAACCTTATATTTTTCAATCCACTCAATTTAAAAAAAAAAAAAAAAAAAAAAAAAAAAAAAAAAAAAAAAAAAAAAAAAACTATGGTATAAGTTTTAAGAAACATGGTACAAGAGGAGAGAGAGAGAGAGAGAGAGAGAGAGAGAGAGAGAGAGAGAGAGAGAGAGAGAAAGAAAGAGAGAGAGAGAGGATGAAGCGGGTTAGTGAAGCTACATAAACAACCCACTCCTCCTAACCCACTCAAGTTGGAGTGGTATCTTGGAGGTACCAATGGTAGCTCCCAATTTTACTATCACTCTATGCTCCCTAACCAGAATATATTAATGTGCTTACATTCAAATGTTTATTAAACATGGAAAATAACGATATTTGAAAACCGGGATGCTTCTTTCATTCTTTTCTATACTAATCAAATTTGTAGATTTAATTAGCATGATGGAAGAAACATATGTTTTGCATCCATATTTCATGATAATGAGATTATATAAACAATAAACGATCATTCAATTATCGTCTATGAACAAAAAAAAAGCTCAAAGAAGAATGTGTATGTGTAGAGAAAGGGAGTTCGGTGAACTTAAAGTTAGTAATAAAGGTACTCACTATATACTATTGTTATCTATTATATAGTATCTAATCTTCTAAAGAATGCTAAAAATGTTAATTTTTAGTTTTTTTTTCAACATTTTGACTATTTTTTTATAGTTTCTACCCGACAATTTAGTTGATGATGTATTGATGTTGAAGCCTTTTCAAGTATTGGAATTAGTTATCATTTGAATATCTCTTGATGTAAATTTTAAGTAATTATTGTTTATAGTCATTATTTTACTTAGAATTTTCTTTCAGATTTTAGAGGCAAAGTAGCACATATAATCAGTACTATTAAATGAAAAAACAAAACTTAGCAAAATTATTAAAAAAAAATGGTGTTGATGTTATACCGTGTAAATCACAATTACAAAAATCAATATTAGCACATATATATGGTTAAGATTATAGTTTTTAAACAACGTTCGTATCTTCAAAACATTTTGCATGATTAGTTTAAATTAATTATTGTACATTCATGTTATATCAAATATCTATACATACATAACATCGATCAAATATTTCAATGTATATATTAATTTTAACTAATCATTATAATTTTACAAATAAAACATCTATCCTTATAAATTAATAATTTTTTTTAAAACGTTAACTAATTATTAGGATTAATTTTACATTTATATTTATTTTTATATATGTTCCCCACATTATATGTGGATCATAATCTAATTGTTATAAAAACTATAGATATTAATTGGAATTAATAAACCTTCTCATCATAACGATAAACGTAAACAATCCCAAATTTATATCCATTTATTAAGAGAAATCTGTTTATATCCATCTTTCTAATAATATAAAATAATATCTAAAACTCAAGTCATTTTCTCTCTCGTACTCTCTTCTTTTGATTTTAATACTTATCTTGATTTAATAAACAGTAACAAAAGTTATAGGGATATTTGATTTCTCATTTGCTAACGTACAATCAAGAAAATTTATAGAAATTAGTTGGAACTAATAAACCTATCTCGTTAGTCATCCAATAAATTTTCAAAATCATTTTGTTTTGCAATAAATTTTCAACAATCCAACCATGATTACGAAAATAGTATCGACCTCGAAAAGTGGATATATTTTTTTTGCAAAATCATTTTGTGTGCTTAATTTACAACTAAGTGACAACTCCTCATAGGTTTAAATTAGATTCTATAAAAATAAACCCTTATTGTGCGTATAAAAAGTTGGTTATCAAAACCAGGTTCAAATAAAGGACTTCAGATTACATATTACATAACAAATAATTGAATTTTGAAAGCGATTTTATCATATCTTTCAATACATAACCAACTCTCCCGAACAACAAAAATTAACATACACAAGAGACTTATTTTGCAACCCTCTGCACTCACTTGCAGCATGATGAAGTGGTTGAATTTACATAAATGCCCCTGCTGTTCCCAGCTTAAAATATAAAGACAACACTGTCATGAACCCTGGATTTCTGATTCTGAGCCACACATTCCGATATCCACATTAAGTTTCTGATCTCCTGTTCCCTCAACCGCATGTACGCAAAGAACACACCGTAGTGAAACTGCAAAAAAATCATCAATCACGAAATGTTAACTTACACAAGATTTTAAAAATTGGACCAAACTTGCCATTCTGAGTAAACCACAGGGACTGGATTTGTAATTTACCTGTTGTTCAAAAGAGAGGCAGAGTCGCTTGACCTCTTCTTCATAGAAAGCTTTATCAAGCATTTGACTTTCTCCATATGATAATTTGGAGAAGATTGGTTGGTAAGGAGGGTATTTCTCCATCACACCACGAACCTATAATTTAAGGAAAAAAAAAAAAGTGAATTAGAATTATAGAATTTATTATTTATTATAATAAAGAAAAAGACAAACCTGGTCTATGTCCTCACAAATAGCAAGTTCCTCATGGCCATAAGGGTAACTGTTTGAACATAAAATGGAAATGAAATTAATTAAGTGAAAAATAAGGAAATATTTAGAAAAATTTTATCATTACATTTACTTACAGTAAACCGAAAGTAGAATACAACTTCCTACGATCTTCTCGGGTAAGCTCGGTTCCAATGCTGCATATATAAATCATGTGATAAAAAAATGATTTTTTTAAATAATAACTTCAGTTATATAATATATATAGTTAGCAAATTACATGAAATAGTTAAGATACAGAAAGAATATCATATGAAACTTCAACAACCAAAATGGTGAAATACAAGAAATTGTTTTTTTGAGGGAATAAATAGTTTTCCACATATGAAGATGTTCATGATATCTCTATTGTTTTAAAATAAATGTAATACTGTACTTGATACCTACTTTAAAAATAATAATAATAATAATATTGTCAAAAGGACAGAATAGGGAAAAAAAAAAAAAAAAAAAAAAAAGGTTAATCTCAAAAAAAACCTTATAATTTGTGTTTTTTTCCGGATTAAACCTCAAATTTATTTTTACTGAAAAAGGCCTTGTATTTTTTCATTATTTCCGATTTGGCCCTTTTAGTCATTTTTTGCCAAAAAATTTGTAAAATGTGAGGGTTTTTTCAGGAAAAACTAAAAAAGTTGAGGGTTTATTTGGAACATTTAGAAGGTTGAGGGTTTTTTTTTAGAAAAAAAAAATAATAAATACAAAGTTGAGGGCTTTTTCAGAAAAAATGAAAAAATACAAGGATTTTTTTAGGCAAAAAATAAATTTGAGGTTTAATCCAGAAAAAACACAAGATATAACGTCCTTTTTTAGATTAACCCGAAAAAAATGAATCAAAAGGATTATTATTACTAATAGAGTAAATTACTAAAATCATCCCTATGGTTTGATCAAAATTTCACGTTTGATCCCTAACTTTTTTTTTGCACTCGGATTGTCCCTATGGTTTGATTTCATTGCGATTTTCATCCCTATGGTTTGGTCAAAATTGCACGTTTGGTCCTTAATATTATGAATGTAAGGGACGAAAAATGCAACAAAATCAAACCACATGGACGATCCGAGTGCAAAAGAAAAGTTAGGGACCAAACGTGAAATTTTGACCAAACCATAGGGACGATTTCAGTAATTTACTCTTATAAATACTATTAATAAGAAATCAAATACTTTTGTAATAATGTTATAGAAGAAAAGAAATATAATTTGAAAAACATGAAATGGGGTTGCAAATGGTGAAATGAGTTTTTTATGAGTTGGCTTTTTCCAAAATTATAAAAGAAAAAGAAAGCTTAGCTATTATTTAATGACATAAACCCGAAATTCAACTAATAAGTTTTCAAATAGTTGAAGAACCTGTTTATGGTGATATTAACAGCTCTCCTATCTGCTTCAAATGCTAGAAGATCAGACATGATTTCAGAAGTGGCTCCACCTAATTTCTATTTTTAAATTCAAGTTGGAGATCAGAAATACAGGAAAAAAAAAAAAAAAAAAACATTTTCAGATTTCAATATAATTAACAAATGCTTACTTGGCAAAATCGATAGAAATCCTCAAGGTATGCCTTGTAAAGAGTATTTCTCATAATCTCAATGTTCATATCATCCAAATCCTACATGTAATCAGATAATGTAATGAATTTTTTCATTTTAAAGTTTAGATTATGTGTAAATTGTATATAGTTTTAACAAGCATATATATATATATATATATATATATATATATATATATATATATATATATATATATATATATATATATATATACCTCTGATGTGATGCATTCAGAGAAGTATGGAGCAAGTGGTGTATCAACAAGCACCAATCTGTAAAGCTCACGCATGTTTTGAGCAACTGCCAGGGTGGCAATACTGGAGAAACAAACAGAAAAAGATTAGCTAAAGAGCAAAATTTGGAAATAATTTTGAGAAGAAATTTAAAATTACCTGTCAAACATTCCCAAAGGGTGACATTTCTCTAATAGTTCCTGAACATCTCTCTCATGCAAGGTTCCAGTAACAATCAAGACAACATTGTCAATCATGTGACCATATCTGAAATTTTAGGTTCCAGTAAATTTAGATAAATCAACTTTCTTTTCACTCTATGTCATTGTTTTACATGTAAATTATGGTAAAAGAGAATTTTCAGAAGGATAAAAGAGAATCTACATGTGTGTAGTAGTTATAGAGAAGGGGTATGACTATGGGTATCTCTTGGAATACAAGAAAATAAACTTACGTTATGTACTCTAAGAAGGTTGACATAGGTTCAGTTGCTTGGCATAACATGTGCTTATACTCATCAACCAACTTAAGAGTGCATTTCTCTACAATTGTGGTTGTATGCAATGGTGATGGCTCTGCAAGAAAAATCATCACAACCATGATAAGTAAAGATAAACTAATGATCATCTGACATGCTTAAATGATTCAGAAGGAGAAATCTAGAAATCTATGTGGATACTAATGGGCCAAATATTCTTTTACTGCTTTAAACTGCATTAATGTCTTAACTCTGTTAAAAAGAATCATCCTTGTAGGACTAAATGAAAGTCAATAAACACACTTTTATTATTTAATCATTTTCATTTTTGTCAAAACCAAATGAGAGATGTCCAGAATGTAGTTCCCACAAGTTTTCAGACATAATAAGTTTATTACTCATTGAGTAAAATACATTCAGATGGAGATGCTTGCTGGAGAATAGATATTTCTGGTGAATTGTAGTAATTCATACCTCAAATTGGCAAAAGTTTCTTTATAGTTACGTTTTAAGCAAAACAAAAAATGACTCATTTCATGGAGGGAGCATATCAATGATCAATCAAGGTGGAGTTACATCGAGAGTCTCCTGATCTAGTTTCCAGAAGATCAGCAATCAATGAAGAACCATTGGTGGATCAATCAGCACAATATCCTTATAGCTTAGCGTTGAATTTAGTACAAAAACTTCACTCGCTACCAGTCTGTGGTATAAATAGCGATCTATCTTCGTTCTCCGCTCAACCTAAGCTCACTCGCCAACCAAATTATAATGAAAGACTTGGAATTGATCGTAATTGCACAGATACTGAATAGATACGGTGATCTAATCTTAGCTCTTCGCCAAAACTAAGCGTAGCAACAAATCAAATGATTATGAATGGCTTCGAATTAACCTTAAGTCCATTCATATAATAACTGATCCACCTAAGTAGTGTGACAGGCAACTTCTACACGAATTCAATAAAAACGATTCCTAACGAATCAACGGAACATGTTAAATCCGTAAAATATAAGTTATAATTATACCGTTTTGAAGATAAGGACCGTATTCGGTAGCAGAGAGATGCATCTTGATGTCATCAAGAGTTTCACACTGACAGAGATTGTTATAATCAGACGCGGTCAATAAACCAGATCTGTGGCCCCTGACGATCGCTTCGAGGTAACCTCCGTGAATGTTGAAGGTCATAGCTTCGAATCCGTACATGTTGTCTGATTGAAAGAGAATTACTGGCGAATTGAATTGGATATGATCAGACTACCCTTCGAGAAACCCTAACAATGGAGATCAACAAGATCAGGAAATAGCAAGGATGAGAAGGTAAACACGAAGGGGGTTGAATGGATCGCGTGGATATCGTTGACAGGAGTGTTTTCGGATCGAATCGAAATTCAGGTATTTGGAAAATGCTTACGTGTCTTGTGTAAGTTGTAACTCGGCATTGCCTATGGGCTTTTATGGCCCAAATTATGAATCCGGTCCGATGAAACGGTGTTTCATGTGTTTAATTGAAGTTAACATTTGGAAAAAAATAATATCTACGTTTTATTTAAAAATTAAATGGAAATCGGGTAATCTAACCCATATAAATGAGTATTTAAATCAATATAATCTTAATAATTTTTTTTAAATGGCAATTTTATGTAACATCTGGAAACCAGAAGGCTAATTAAGGAAAGATTTTATGTAAATTGAAGGTCTACTCGTTGAGTCTAAGGGGGACAACTTGACGAGTAGGACAACTCGACGAGTAGAAATAAGTTTTTGGGACGTGGGTTGAGAGATATACTCTACGAGTTGGAGAGGACCAACTCGACAAGTTGGTATGGATTTGGAAAACCCTAGATTCGGGGTTTTTCACCCTATTTAAGCATCTTAATCCCCACCTTATGACCTCATTTTCAGCCTCTAAGTCCCAAACCCTAATCCACAAAACTCTAGAGCATTTTGTGAGTGTGTGAGCCATTCTTGAGTAATCTTTGTGTGTTCTTGAAGCTTGAAGAAGAAGAAGGAGCTAGAAGCTTCACGGAGAAGATAGTAGATTGTGACAACCCGTAATTACGTTCTTGTAAAAGTCAAACTTATTTCCATTATTATCTTAATATGGTTAGAGTAATGAATTTATATGTATAAAAACCTAGTATCATGAGGTGTTGTGTGTTTTGGAAAAAAAGCATTTAGGACCACAAACCCTCGCAACCGCAAACGAGCCTTCGGGCCGAGAACCTCCATCAGACCACAAATGGTTCGCGGCCGTGAACCGAAGTCGTGAACTCTTCGGGTTGTGATCCCTCCCCTATATATATATATATATATATATATATATATATATATATATATATATATGTGTGTGTGTGTGTGTGTGTGTGTGTGTGTGTGTGTGTGTGACTAAAAACTTCTTCATTTCTTCACTTCTGACCGTAAACTCGAGCCTTCTCTCTCAAGGTCATCAACCGTGAACACCTTTTCTCTCTCAAATATCATCATATCTCTTTTGAATCTCCTTAGAATCGACTTATATCTTCAAGTGTTCTTCATTTCTTCAAGATCCTTTGGGTCGTGAACCCTGAATCATCATCATTTGTCAAGAACATCAGGGCGTGAACTCAAGAACACCAAGTGTTCTTAGACCGTGAAAACCCACGTGGTCGTGATCTAGCCTCCCATTTTCGACTCTTGCACCCTCTTTTGTAAGTTAAGCTTGTAACTCAATCCATTTCCTTTCTATATTTATGATTATGATTACTAAATTGTAACGTCCGTAGATGTCTGGCTAGTCAATTTAGAGACGATAAGCATCAAAAATAACTTTTTGATGAAAGATTATTTAGAAGGATTAATCTTAACTAAGTTGTAGTATATGTTACAAGGATTTCGTACATATAAAGAACGCCGAAATCCGAATTATAACGAAGAAGTTATGATCTGTCAAAGTTTCACGATAGAACCGGAACGACACAACGTGACGTAAATAGTGAATTTACTTTAAAGCGATATTTGGCCTTAGATATCTAAATGAAAGTCGTAGAATACGTTAAACCGAGAGCGTGCATAAAAAGAACGTCTAAATCTGACTCTTTATGAGGAAGTTGTATTTTTCGAAGTTTTAGCATTAGTAGTATACAGCCCAAAGTTCGAATATGAGATCGAACGATATTTAGCCGAAACAATCTAAATGAGAAGAATATCTCATCGATATTAGTCTAACGGTAAAAAGACAGACGAAAATGGAGTTCAGATGAAGGAGTTATGAATTTCTAACGGAGTTTTCCTGTCCCGACCTACTAAAAATAATATAATAAAAATAAATTCAAAATTATCCGACTGAGTCTAAATGAAAGTTGTAGATCTTGTTTTTACCTATGCATGGATATAAAGAACATCGAAATCGTATGCAAAAGTTATGAATTTCTGAAGTTCGGGGCGCGAAACCTCAAACCTATCAGAGTTCACGACGTGAACTCAGTATTTACGACTTTTGGAGGCTGATAGACACAACTTGCGATAACGCATGCAGTGACGACTGAACTCACGACGTGAATATTTGAGATTCACGACATGAATCCATCAAATCAATCCTATAAATAGAATTCAAGGGGCAACCGAGTTTGGTTGCTCAACCTCTTCTCTCCCACTCCCGATACTCTCTCTAAGCCCTATTTTAACCCCCCCGAATCCCCGGTATCATCCCGAGACCCGAAGCGAGTCTCGAAGCCTAAAGATCCTGAGAATAAAAGAGTTTCCGAGCCGAAGCTCTGCCTGTGAGAAGCCCGGTGTGTGAAGATCATCTAATTTCACCAAATAAATACTACTCTTAGAGTCGTAGTGCTACTCGATCATCTTCTGATCAAGTGAGCGTATAATCCCTTTCATAAACACGATTTTAATACAAGTATTGTTTGAATGTATTAAGTATATGTTTGGTGTGAGTGTGTAGTTACTTTCTTCTAACACATAGATATGAAGTATTTGCTATGAATTACGTGTTATGTGTTTATATATTATTGTTTACTTGAGATGGATGTTGAATGAATGTTTTATACAGGTTTTTAAATAGTTTTAAACTATATATGTCATTTATATCTACAAATATGTTGGGTAGAACATGGGTAGATGAAATAGTTGGTGTGTGATGAAATAATGTGATAAAAGATAGGTGAGGATATAATGGTGATGATAATTAGGTGATGATAGATATGTAATGAATTACGAGTCCAAGCGATGTTGTGGTTGCGTATTCATGCGATAATAGTCTAACCCTTATTATGAATCACAAGTCCAGGCGATGTTGTGGTTACGTATTCATGCGATGATAGTCTAACCCTTATTATGAATTACGAGTCCAAGCGATGTTGTGGTTGTGTATTCATGCGATGATAGTCTAACCCTTATTATGATTTACGAGTCCATGCGATGTTGTGGCTGCGTAATCATGCGATGATACCCTAACCCTTACTAGACATATATTGAGGGAGTGATCCCCGAATTAGTATTGTCTATGCGATGTATGCAATGATCCTTAGGAAAAGTTCTTAGGAACAAACATATAAGGAAATAAGATATAAGGAGATGATAGGTAAATATGATATAGGAGATGACCCTTAGGATAATATCTTTAGGGAAGATTAAACGAAGATAATGGGGATGGGTAATTGGGTTGATTGTTTAATGATTAAATATAATAAGTATATTATTGTGGGTTGACCCACTCAGTTTTCTTTGCATTACAGGTAATGGCACAAAGGTATAAGTTGGTGGACTTGACGAGAGATTTTGGATTATAGATCAGTAGTTATAAATAATTGTTGTAAGGTCTATTTTATATTGTTTATGCTTTTGGTCTGTATCGAAACATGACATCCTGAGATTTTGTTATTTAATGAAAATACATTTCTTTAAGAAATGCTTTGATAAATTTTATTTTATCATATTTTATTTTGGGAACAAATTCCACAACTCTTTTAATCAAAGGATTACTCTAACTTTATGAAACAAAGCATAAACAAATCGGTCTTTTCTGGCCGTGAAATTAGGGATGTCACATAAATGTATACATATATATGTCTTAATATGCTAAATAGGACTTGTGCTTCGGGACTTCACTCATGAAACTTATCATCCTATATCGAACATTCAATTGAATCACTCACATAAGGTGAGTTCATACCCCTACAATTTACTCTTTTAAATGTTTTTAGGGGGGAATATAAGTAGAAAACAATATGATTGTGCTATTCATTAACATGTGGAAACAAACAAACCAAAAGGATTTCTTATACTTAAATGTGTTAAAACCATTTTAAAAACTCTTTTAAACTATTTTAGATTTCTGTTTTTTTTATCAAAATCATATTCGGGTACATATTAATGTACACGTATGCCTTAATGGACTTAGGACTATTGCTAAATACCATAACTCTTATTCCTTATTTGGTTGTGGCTTAGGATAGGATCACTAGTCTGAATGTCGGTTAAATCATAGTTATACTTGCTAAATATATGCATGAATATTAAATCTCATTATTTTCAAGGATTATGCTTAACTCAGTTGTACACATTAGACAAATTGAGTCTTTTCAGTAACAATTCAAACAAATATACTAGTAAACTATAATAGGTATGGTTTAGAGGATCACTACATACTATTGCTAGAATGGAGAAACAATATATGCGTCAGTACATACATACCATTCTATTCATTTACAAGAACAAGAAAGAACTTACATACTATAACAAGAAAATGAGATAACTAAAATGTGAGCCACTACTTCATGACATAGAAATACACTTGCCATGTCATGTTTTGTAACCAGAGTCTCCTGAGGGGAGAGCGTGCGTTTGTGTATAGATCTATATGGGATTGACAATCCCGCACCTTGTTGTTAGCTACAGTGATACCTGCAGGTCTATGGGTGACAAATGCATATCATTTTCGACATATGAATAACGTCGTGTTATATACTAGTCTATTGAGCATGGTTGCAATCAAATCACATTTAACCTTAATTAACCATTTGGTTTTCAAGGTAGTTAATGCATCATTAGCTTATTTTATTCGATTACTACTGAAAACCTTCATTTTTCCATTACATTCATATAGTGGATTTCTCACATGAGAGATGCATACTATTTTTGAGTAACGATAGTTGTACAAATATGGAAAACATACATCTACACTATTCCAAGTGAAAACATACATTTTACACTATTTTCAAAGAGAACATATCATACAAACAGTTGAGTCTTGGTAGAAAACTACTTTTCATTTAAAGGCAGGAAATATAGGATTTTCTGGGAAAGATACAAACATTTTTACTCAAACAAATACAAACATTTCATGAAACAAGAGCAAACTTTTGACACTAAATACTTATGCACTCACCAACTTAAATGTTGATACTCTCTTTCAAAATAACTTGTATTCTCAGGAAACCAGTAGACAAGTACACGAGCAGGTTTTTGGAGAAGACGGAGCATGTTCAGACTCGTCTTTGATTT